TTGGAAGATATTCATTCACTGATGGTGAGGGCTGACCCCACCTCTAAAAACGAGTGCATCACTGAGTTTTGAACTAGAAACCCCAGCACACCACATGCATTCTCCCTCGCTCCCTCCTTGTCTCCCTTCTGCGGCTGACATGCTCTGACTGCTCCTGCGGTGTCCTACAGGGAGCAGGGCAGGAAGGAAGGCAAGGCATGGACCCTGTGGTTCCTCACGCCGCTCATGTCTTAGACAGAGAGCCTTTACTACATCGTCAGCACCTACACTGCCTCCTCTTTTCCAAGGTCATCAGAAGCTCATCTGGGCTCTGTGGCATCCCGGCCACTCACGCAAGCTCCCGGACAACCGAGGACCAAAACCCTTCAGACTGCCCTCTGCTCACAGCTGTTGCCCCTGCCGGCGCTTTACCTTCCTCGTACTTGGGCCTGACTGTGAGCTGCACATCCAGGACATGGGGACCTGCCCAGGTTAGCGGTGGGCACAGAGCCCCCACCCTGCCGTGTTTTCCACTCGTGCCACATTAAACTCTGTTCACTGGACAAGGCCAGGGAGGACGAGTGGCCAGCTGCCCCCATCCCTGTCCTCTGGTCAGCGTCCACCTGTCCCCCTCAGCGTTCCTCCTTCCTCCCAGAGCTCTGAAGACTTGTTAGGTGAACTGCTGGGAAAGGGTTGGCCCACCAGAAACAGAACACAAGCAGTACCTTGCTGCCCGAGGCCAGGGCATAGCCCCCTCCCACCAGGATGACGATCTCCCAGGGCATGGTCTTCTGGAAGTCCTGCCACGTGATGATGGGCTCTGTCCCCAGCAAGGGCTCCTGGGGCTCCCCTGGTCACAGGTGGACAGAGATGCAGAGCCAGTGAAACCAGTGGACGGGCTGGGCCATGGGGAAGGCTGTTGTGCTACTGGGGCGGGGGTCTGAAGGGCCTCTGATCTGGGAGCCCTAGGCCCTGAGCCAGCCCCCATCTCCTTTGAACCTCACTCACCATCACCCTTCTTTCCAAAGCACGGCTTCTTGGCTGGAATCAGGAAGAGCAGGAAGCCGAGGAAGACGGAGACCGTGGCATCCGTGCGGTAGCCTTTCCTAGCAAAGAGACAAGTGCGGCCGGAGGAGGAGGTCAGGCCTCCTGGTGGCAGGTGACTGGGGACGGACAGTCTGAATACAACACCCCTCCCTAGCACCTAGTCTAGAGGTGACGCTTACACCAGCTGCCACCACACTCCCTCATGGAGGGCTGAATGGGCAGCGGTTAATGTCTGGAGGCAGGGCCTGGCTAGTGTGGAGCTGCTGGCTGTCGGGCACTCGGCCCCCAACGTGTGATGACCCATGGTCATTGGAAGGAAACGCTGCCCATTCTACGCCGTGACCGTGACCACTTGGAGATCTGACTGCTGTGGCCCGTCGGGCTCTCACTGGCTGATCTTCGGAAGGAGATCACCAGGCCTTTCTCCCTAGTCTCTCTGAGTCTGGAAGCTCTGCTGGCACCTGTCCAGCATCCCAGCAACACCCAAGCCTCCCCTGACAGACGAGTGATGGCTGTGTGTGAGGCACATTGGCCAGGAAATCAACGCTGAGTCTCCAAAATGAGAGGTGAGAATTCTCCCACTCAACCACCAGTGCCCCCTTTTTCCAAAGACTGCCCCAAACCAACCAGACGCCTGCTGTCGAGTTGATTCCAACTCACACAACCCTATGGGACAGAGCAGAACTGCCCCATAGGATCTCCAAGGCTGTCATCTTTTATGGAAGTAGACTGCCTTATCTTTCTCCAGCGGAGTGGCTGGGGCATTCCAACCACTAACCATCTGGTTACCAGCCAAATGCTTTAACCACCAAAGACTGCAGCTTCCCTTAAAAGAGTGGCTACCCCCCAGGACCATACTGTCTCCTGGCTTCGTGTCGACCTCAGGAGTCTGTGAAGAGACATTAGGGCTACTGTCTGGAGAACTTGGGGGAGGAGCTTGTTCTTGGGCAGGGAATGACAGCACTTACTTCTCAAAGAAGGAATCCCAGCCCGGGACAAAGCCAGGCTCCCTGGTGAACCACAGCACCATCATCAGGATGAAGAAGAACCCAGTCACCATCTCAGGGTAGCTATCAAATGAAACAGAAAGAGCGCTCCAGGACGGCGAAGTTCCTTTTAGCCTTTGGCCTGGGTGCTCCTGTCAGCTGGGGTCCGCAGTACTGGAGTCATGACATGTCACTCCTGCTTAGCCATTGTGAATGGCTCAAAATGAAGTGGGAGAGGACTGAGATAATGCCAGAAAAATATTATAGTAGCCATGCTCGGTGAAGAAACGTGGGTGTGGAGGGAAACCTACCACCATACTGAATTCTTATCAAATCATTTAAGATACAACCTGTGAGGAGAGTGCATGAGTTGGGGTCCTGCCAACACTGGGCTTGGGGGAGGCAACCTGGTGACAGACATTGGGAACTTGGAAACGCGCATTCCCTTCACCCAAGAATGAAGACAGAAGTACGCTGGGAGGTGAGACTCATGAAGACTGGAACTACCTAACTATCTCATGACAGTCCACATCATCAAGTACATTTTGGTGTAAAGCTGTACATTACAATGAGGTGTGTCCATTAGTAGTCATTTTTCCAAAGGATAGTCAATGACATGAGAAAGCAATGACTGTGTAATGCTGAATGAGAAAGCTAAGATGGAACTATATGTTCAGTATGGACTGAATTTTACCAAAAATGTGCAAAAGATACTGTGGGAAGGGAGTGCATCGTGCTAACAGTGTTTGCGGGTAACACTGGATGCCAGCCATACAGTAACAAATGCTATTGCTTCTGTCTGCTTCTCTGAATTTTTAAAAATTTTCTACAATAAACGTGTATTCCTTTTAGAAATGAAAAGTTTTTTTAAAAAATACAGTTGATACCTGAACACTTTTACCCAATTGAAGCTGTACATGCCAACTGACATGAAAAAAAAAATCCTCATAACCAGTTGCCGTCAAGTTGATTCTGACCCATGGCAACCGTCTGCATCAGAGCAGAACTGTGCCCATGGGGCTGTCCATGGCTGGTTATTTTTGAAGTACATCACCAGGCCTTTTTTACAGGGTGTCTCTGAATGGACTCAACCCTTCAACCTTCTGGTTAGCAGCTGAACATGTTAACCCTTTGTCCTGCAAATTGTCAGAAAAGGAGAACCAACACTGGATAGGATGTCGGGTCCCTGGGTGAGCTGACAGAAGCGGCTGAGGGTTGGTTAGTGAGTCTTTTTTTTTTTTTTTTAATTGTTACTGTGATTTGGGTGAAAGTTTATAGAGCAATTCATTTTCCATACAGTAGTTCATACACATTCTATTTCAGGACATTGACTGCAATTCCCCATTGTAACAGCTCTCTTCCTACTTCCTCCCTGAAGTTACCTCTTCCCTGTGTACTTCTTTCCTGCCCCCCAGCCTGTCTCCCTGTGCAAACACTGCCCTTCTGTTCTCCCATGATTGATCACTCTAAGGAGTGTATCTATCTGATGTAAATGTTCACTCTATATGCCTGTCTGTTGGTTGGAAGCTACAGGAGTGAGTTCAGTTCCAGACCTGAAAGGTAACTAGAGACCACAGTCTCGGGGGTCTCACCAGGCTCTATCAGACCAGTAAATCTGGTCTTTTTACTTTTTATTGTGAAAACATACACAACAAGACATTCACCAACTTAACAACTTCCTCATTTAAACCTGGCCTTATTTTTATGATTTTGAGTTTTTTTCCACAGTGTTCTCCTACTCTATCCAGGATCTCCTGCACTGACCCCTTTCCAAGGGGTTGACAGTGGTAGCCAGGCACCATCTAGCTCTTCTGGTCTCATGGTCACATAGGCTGAGGATCACATGGTCTACTAGTCCCTTGGACTAACTGTTTCCATGCGTCTTTGGTTTTCTTCATTCTTCTTTGCTCTGGATGAAGAGAGACCCAGGGTTGCATCTAGATGGCCTCTTGCAAGCTTTTAAGATTCCAGTCTGTACTCATCAAAGTAGGATGTGGAACACTGTCTTTGTGTAATGTTATACCAATTGAGCTTGATGTCCCTAGTTAGTGATTCTTGGACTGTCCATCTTTAAGTCACTGTTTAATGCTAGCTTTGCCCTAAAAATAGGACAGAGTCCCCTCTCTCACTAGGAAGGACTGCTGGACCGAGGGGGGCATTCTGAGGAATGTGGGGCCTCTTGACTCCTGAAAGGAATCCAGCATGTTCCAAGTCAGTGGGAAGCTGCCCCTATATACAGCGCTCCACCCACACACAACAGCCACAGCTTGGACGTTGAACCCAGAGAAGGGGAAGGGCGGCCACCTGAGAGCCAGGCCTGCTTGACTCTGGCATTCAATGGCATCTTCTAAATGCCTGGATTCATAGCTGTGGAAAATCTGGCCCTCTCTCCCCGCCGAGGGACCGGCAGGAATAAAGCTGTGTCTGTGCTCGCTGTACCCGCCGCGTCCTCGCCCGTGGAGGAGAGAAGGGACGGCTCACTGTACCTGATGTCACCCAGCTTTTCATACTCCTCCTGGATCCGCTGCTCTGACAGCTCTTCCCTTTTGGTCTTCTTCTTCTTGCTCAGAGAGCAGGTCTCTTTAAAACTGAGACGGGAGAAGAGGCAAAAGAACAGGCCTGGAGGAGCTGGAACAGGGACCCAACGCTCGACCCCCTGCTCTCTGTGAGGTCATTTCTATCCCCTCTATCCCCCCATTCACACGCCTTTCACTGCCCCCTTACACAGCCTCCCATCCACCTTCTCCCTTGTCTTTTGTGTACACCATCTGGGTAAGTTTCTGGTGTATCAGTGAGTCCCTGGGTGCAAACCATTAATGTGCTCCACGAAGGCTGGCGGTATGAGTCCACCCAGAGCTGCCCTGGGAGAAAGGCCTGGCTGTCTACTAGCAAACAAGCAGCCGCTGCAAACCCCACGGAACCCAGTTTCCCTCTGACACCCATGGGAGCACCCGGAGTCGGAGCTGACCTGATGGCCACTGGCTGGTTATCCATGTGAAGTTATGTCCTAGGGACTTTTCCAAGTGTGTTTACATAATGTCGTTCCTATATACTGGTCTGTGTGTCCATAGTAAAAATCAGTGTGATGTAGTAAATGTGTGCAGACATTTAGGTGTGTGTGTATGTGTGTGTGCTACACACACATGCATGTGTATTTGTGTGTTTGTCTAGAGACAAGGCTTGTCTGGGCAAAAGTGGGTGTTAGTTTCTTATGAGCAATGCTGGAGTTATA